CGGGGGGCCCGGTACCCCCATCACCACCATGAGAGTCATCTCCTGGAACTGCCAGGGTGTGTCTGCACCATTAACACAATCTCGTCTGACACGACTCTGTAATTCTTTAAAACCTTCTGTCTTATTTCTGTGTGAAACTCTAAATAATTGTGTTGTATTGCAAAACTTATCGTGTGTATTAGGATTTGATAACGTTATTACCCAACCTCCACAAGGTAGAAGTGGTGGTTTGGCTATTATGTGGTGTAATAATGTTTCTGTAACTATGTTGTACCAAGACAATCGTATGATTGATGTACATCTGACGTTTAATGATTTTAGTTTTTATTTGTCTTGTGTTTATGGACATCCTGTCCAAAGCCAAAGATACATATTATGGGATAGATTAAAACGCATTAGTAGAACTCGTAATGCACCATGGATGTTAATGGGTGATTTTAATGAGATTCTATCTAATTCTGAAAAAATGGGAGGACCTCTAAGAGATGAATGGAGCTTTAGGAACTTTCGTGAAATGATCTCCACTTGTGCCTTGAAGGATCTTCGTTCAAAGGGTGATCGGTTCAGTTGGGTTGGAGAACGTCACCAACATACGATTAAGTGTTGTTTAGATCGGGTTTTGATTAATTTTGATTGGTCTGCTTCTTTCCCAAATGCTGAAGCAGAGTTCTTGGACTTTAATGGATCTGATCACAAACCGATTCTTACTTCTATCAACATCACCACTCCTTCTTATAAAAAACCGTTCAGATTTGATAAACGGTTACTTGGTCTAGCTGATTTTAAACACATAGTGGCTGAAGGTTGGAACTATTGTAAATCTGGAACATTCTTTTCAATTACAGACCAGATTTCAAATTGTCGCCGAGCCATGTCCCGAGCCAAACACAATTCTAATATAAATGCGGCTAAACGAATAGATCAACTGCAGTTTCTACTGAACAAAGCTATGTCGAGTATGTCTAGATCCCACCGATGCAACATTCCAACTCTTCAACGACAGCTAACGAGAGCTTACCAAGATGAGGAATATTATTGGAGTTTAAAGAGCAGAAATACTTGGTTAAATGTTGGTGATCGTAACACGAGCTTCTTCCATGCTAGTACAAAAATTCGTTATGCAAAAAATTATATTACAAGTATTAAAGATGCTGAAGATAATACCTACAGAGGTGACAACGAGATTGGAGCTCATGCACAACAATTCTTCACTAATTTATTTTCTACCTCTGGTCACCAAGTCTCTCCAATCGATTTTGGTGATTTTGAATCTACTGTATCTACTTCAATGAATGAAGACTTGACTAAGGATTTCAGTTCTTCAGAAATCTATGAGGCGGTTTGTACCATTGGTGATGATAAGGCCCCCGGACCTGATGGTTTAACAGCAAGATTTTATAAGACTTATTGGGATATTATTGGTGACGATATAGTGAAAG